AAACAAAGTCAAATTCTTAAAAAAGTTTTGAGATAATTTACAATAATTTAAATTTAGACATTTGTAATAAAAGTTTAGAAATTTTAAGAAAACGAGTGCGGATGCTGCCTTTATTACTAAAAGCACAAAAGTGATTTTCTTGATATGTTATATGAGTGTTAAATCTGTATCGATTAAAACTATTTTAAAAAATAAGGGGTTTTCTTGATGCAGGACCGTATTCAACTTTTTTGACAAATGGCAAGCTGTACACACTCTTGTTTGTCTCACAATGTAATACACTCATTTTTGTTTTTTAGATTTTTCTTGCGGCGTTGCCAAGTTATTTTGAAAAATTTTAAAAATTGACCTAGATTCTTTATTGGCAACAAGAGAAAAGTAAAATTTTGCACAATGGTAAAGTAAGCTTTGCTCTATCGCTTGATGTCATCGTATGTGCTTTTATTATACAGGGTGCTTCCTAAAACCCGATAATGAATTAAAAATACCTATCTCCAGTTTTCCCCAAGGGTTAAATTGCTTATAAATTACCCATCTTTAATTAAACATTCTGTCATGTTCCGCTTAATAACCTGCCAAAGCCGATATTCCCCTAGCTAATTTGACACATAATTGATAAAACGTCCTAGAATAAAATTTATTTCCTGCAAGGTGTTCGACGTTTTCGAATTTTAATCAACGATAAAATGTTTGTAAAACCGGAAACGCATATTAAAATATAGGAAGTCGTAATTTACGCTATCATAAAACGTGACTTTGCCAAAAAAAACTGTGAATTTTTTTTTATCTTCCCTCGCCACAAGTTCAAGCGGTGGCTTTGTCAGCGCGCAAATATTTGATCAGATTATTGGAAAAGTTTGGTAGAAATCGACTGTAGTTGGCGCTCGAGGCGCAGCCGAGCAATCAACAAAGTCAGACAGCGACTTTGAAATTATGTTGGCATCCATGAATAATCAATTTTTGTATTGAAAATTAGCTTTTTGTAAAATAAATAAAAGCCGGTGTTTAATTGAGTTTTTGCGGCCCACTTTCGAGCCGAAAATAAACAAGACTCGAATTTTATTTAAGTGTTTTGAAATGTTTGATGCAACTAAAAATAAGCTTGCACTCGCCTACACTGTTTACATCAATTTTTTCGTCCCTTGTATCAGACGACGGAATGAATGATTATTACAATCAGACAGACGTCGGCGTCGCGATGCATGTTTACAAAAAAAATTCTATTTTTGTAGTCAGACAAATGCGTTTCAGAGGGTGGAATTGCGTTATTAATATTGATACGTCCCGAATTCGAGTTTTAGCCCAATTTCCTGAAGCGTCGCTAATAATTTACATCGAATTTCAGCGACGGAAGTGAACCTTATTATAAATTCCGCAAGGGATGATGCCCAGAATATATCACTCGATAAAGTAGGGTTTTAGATGCGTTTTTTATTTCTTACACAAATCAAGAATTTTATTTTCTTTGGTTTTATGGTCTCTTTTAACGGTTTGTAGTGTGTTAATAAATTTACTCCAAAATTTTACGGCTTTTCAAATATGAAATATACGGCTGGGGTGGCAAAAGGAAAGTTTTCGCAGTATATTATTTAAATAGTCCGTAAAGAACTACTTTTCCAGACTCACATGTCATGAAAATCCGCCATAAAGTGTTGATTGTATACAGCGTGCGCCAGAACTCGCGCCCCAAAGAAAAATACCATATAAGGTAACTAATTTGACTCTGTTTAATGTTATTTGTGGCTTTTATTGGCAAAATTTTTGAACCTTTACTAAATAATTATAAAAAAAACATATACAAGATCATCACTATTATTAAATTGACATAAGAAATGTCAAATGTCAATAAATAAATGTCAAAATTTTTTGACAGATAGTATTTTTTACACATTTTGCCATATTCCTGATGGTATCTTATCTTACTTGAAATTTTTCTCTGAGGCGCGAGTTCTGACACACCCTGTATACTTCAAAAAATTATTTTACTTATTGTTTAAAAAAAATCTTGTCCTTGTGCACTTTTGCAACTAATAAGGAACATATTTTCTAAATTTTTAATTAAAGAATTAAAAAATTTACGATTATTATACTCATAAACTCCATGTTCGTTATAAAAAAAAGTCAATTTTAGTGTGTAATTCTTACAAAAAAAGTTATTAATTCACGAGGAACTAAGCCTCGAGGGAATTAATTCTGTTATTATTTTATTAACCATTATTTAGTTTGTCGAGAAGTTTTTTTCGCTCCTAGTGGCGATAATCATTTTTATTATTGACTAAGGCAATAATAGATTAGAGGTGGGGAAATATCGATATTATAGCGTATTACATTGACGATGACAGACCCTTAAAACTTCCTCATTAAAAAACATCAAAATAACCCCACCTCTAATTCTTCTGTCTTTGTTAAAACTGCCAAACAACAAATGGGCTTATATCATGTTTATATCTTGTTTCCTTTTCTTTGCAGTTTCTTTGTTATTCTAGCAAATTTTTCATATCATGTAGCAGAAGTAAAAAATTACATAACCTCATTTACGATAAAATAAAATAATACTTCCAACTTAAGTTAATAACTTAGGTGGAGATAATATTAAATTAAAACACGGTAGAGAAGATTCTTATAGCTGCTTCTCATTTATTATTGCCCTCGATGCTCCGCGTCTCGGGTAATAAACAGCTCAGCTATAAAAATCTCTTCTCTACCTTGTGGTAATATACTATTATATACCAGGTGAATAAAAATTATGGAACCAAATGTTTTTTGATTAAACAATTTTTTT